ACTGCCTGTTAAGTTTGACTTTTTAAACACTGTGGAATCTTTTTTAACAGTTGGATGCTTAGGTGGCCATTTTTGTTGAGTTGGACGACCACATGGCACTTACCTCATTTTTTTATCACCATCTCATCTAGATCTTATTTAAATTTCAAAATTACATCTCTCCTCTAATTACAATAGACCCTTTTCTTCTTCCTTTCCCTAATTTGCCTTTTCCCTTTCGAACCACGGTAGATCAAAGGCCGGCAGCGATGAGAGCATTTTTCTCCCTTCTCCCTTTCTCCTTTTCTACCCTTTCCATCATGTGAGGTTGGGGCCAAACGGAACCCAGATTAGAAGCCACAAGATCTAATCATGCCTCCTGACAAGCTTGAAGTGCCATAGAACAACGAAAATTGAGATTTGTGTTCCTCTGTCATAAGGGCTTGAAAGAGTTGCAAAATTTGCAGGTTTGTTGTGCAATTTTGGGTATAATAGTGTTGAGATTAACTGATGAGAATTGAAATTGCAATTTTTGTTATAATAGAGGAAACCCAGATTTGGGTTTCCTATCTTCAATGATTTTGTAGAACCCACCATAATAGATCTAGTTCAAGATGCTCGGCTGGGTATAATGGTGTGTTTGTTACAATTTTCTGCGATATCCTTGAAGACAACAAACTCGCCATGACAAATCTGGTTCTAGATGCTTGGCTGGGGATGTTGGAGGAGTATTTGAGGTCAATTGTGGATAATATCTAAGTATACCAGCCAAGAAAGCTTGGATTTAAAAGGAAATTCACCAAAACACAAAGGACCAAATTCTCCATATATGAATCGGTTGATTTTGGGTGGGGAAAGATGCCTCATCAGAGAAGACGAACTGTCCATTTCCTTTTAACTCTTTTTTATCTTTAATTTGGTCTTTTGAGAGTTAATCCATTAATATGTAATAATAAATGTTACTTATTAATCATTTAAGTTTTTAAATGGTCTTTCATCATTTAAGTTAATTAAATTTAAATATGTAATTTATTAATTAAAAAATAATGAAATGAAAATAGTCGGTCCACTAATAAATTGGTATGGAGGGTAAAACGGAGAAGAATGAATATTTCAAGAGGTATTTATGATATTTAAACTGGAGCCCAGATGTAAAAAAAAAGGGAAGCAAAATGCCACGATGTAAAAAATGGGTTAAAATTGGACTGCAGTCGTGTCTAATTCAACAAAAATAGCCCCCTAAGATTCCAGGTGTTAAAAAAGTCAGACTTAACGGGTAGTTAACGAGATGATGATGTCACATGACGTGGCACGTCAAATACTGAGTTATTTGTCTAAGTCGAAAAATTTGTGGATGGATTTGTTCTCGTTTTTTGTTCGGATGTGGATCCGTCCCTGCCCTTATAGTTGAGGGGTGGATTTGGGTATTTTACCTATTAAAAGTCATGAAGTATTCTGAACTTGGCCCCGTGGAGCAAGTGATTCTAATTATTCTTGTAAGGTTCATATCCCCTTTTTCAAGGGCAACGGTTCGAGCCGATCCCACGATTAAAATGTTCAAAAAAAAAAAAAACAAAAATCATGAAGTATTCTGCATGTTAGACAACCCTACACATTATAGGATCACCCCTATACATGTTTGTCGTTTGTCATGCTTTGATCTGCGGCTTTGTGACGGGACGATAGCAAAAAACACACGCAACATTTGAAGGAAAAAACATAAAAATGCTCCATTGTCAAATGGTCCTCACCAAGCTGCACATCCGTGGGTTAATTCTTTTGTCACCCTCTTTTTTCTCTCTCTCTCTCTCTATTGGTCTTTTGTCACCCTCTTGTTATTTATAATAAGAAAAATAATATAGTTATAATAATATTATATGATATTATAAATTTTAATTTTAATTGTTATTGTATGATTAATATTTTTTATTTAAAAGTTTACTTATAATATTATATATATATTTATTTAATAATATATCATAATTATAAATTTATAACTTTACTTAATATTATAACAGCCACCTATCATCCACATTTTAGTAAACGTGCATATCTATATATATAGCGATCTATCAATAATATAATGACTTGGTTCTACTCAGCACTGGATGCCAAATTCTTTATTTCTTTTTTTTCATGTTTTTTAATACTTTCAATGGTGCCAACCACTATTGTAGCCCAATGTCACAATTCCTAAGAAGTGTGGTACCATCTAAAAATTTAAGATTTAAATTTTGACTATTTTATCTTTCATCCTCTAATTGTACTAATTAAAAAAAAAAAAAAAAAAACTTTCGGTGGCCACTATTTTTTTCCTTGTATGATTTGCTCACTTTGGCAGTCTATCTTTTACTTCCCTGAATTATTTACATTCTTGATGTATGTTCAGGATTATAT